AATAAAACAGTGTCGTGTCCATTTTTGGAAGACCAAACAAAGTAGTTTCGCTTTCACAACGAAACACAGCGTCACACACGGCGGCCTAGAGTGAGCAGAGGCGGCGGGCTTGAGTGAGGAACGGCCGGCGGGCTGAGTGAGCAGAGGCGGGTGGGCTTGATAACGGCGTGGCCGGCGGATTCGACGAAGGAGGCTTGCGGCAACCACATGTGACGACCCCGGGCTGGACTCTGCTTCATCCACGGTGAAAGCCGATCCGGCAAACTACAGCGTGAAGTTGATGTATTTCCTCAGCGACCAGCACGGATCAGCTCTAGGCATGACGAAGCGGATATCGTCCTCTTTTGGAAGACCAAACAAAGTAGTTTCGCTTTCACAACGAAGCACACAGCGTCTTCACGTCATGGCGGCGGCGGCAACAACAATACTACAGCGAGAATAAAAGTTACGCCTTCTTTCTTTGCGTGAACATTTGGGCGGCGTTATGCAAATCTTCCCACATAGTGATGTAGACATGTGGGGGCGTGTTAGAACGAGCCGTTTTAGGTAGGCGTGGCTGACTCTTAACTTTTATAAAGAATATCTCTTTGGATTTGATATCATTTAATATAATAATTAGATATTACATATAATTTGGTAGAAAACCAGTGTTTTTACGTTTTATTGGTGCAAAGATGAGTTGTGGTGATATTTATTTTGTACAACATTTGCAACTGCTTTTTATCACTTAATTAGAAGCACCACAAATGTAAATTATGTCATGTTATAAAGCTATGTAAACACTTGCATTTTTACAACACTATAAGTGTGTCCCATATGAAAAGTTTGACACACACTTGTGGTCTTCATCCTCACTTGAACACTTGGGGCCAAATCCAGGAAATACGTCATAGAAGTTGTCAAGTGGTCAAGTGCAAAGACCGCAAGTGTGGGTATTTGGACAAGGCAAGTACAGCTCAGATTTGGATCATTTCCTTACAGGGAAACGGTGTGAATGGACCCTTTTCACAAGACTGTGATGAGGCGTTTAGCGGTCATCAGCATCGTAAATCCTCGAAAGTTTTTCATATTTGTATTTATTTATTTTTTTACGTTTATGTACATTTATAACACTATACTTTGTATTGTATCACCTTTGCATCAGATTACAAAAAAACTGTTAACGCTAATTCGCGGGTGTTTCTAATGCAGCCTATCTATAGGAGGGACGGTAAATTTGACATCGTTCTCTCTTCTGACTGCCGTTATCAGTCTCTCTCAATTTTTTTCCTTTTATTGAAAGTCATGAAAACACTATCGTGGAGTTTTTCTTTTGCTATTTGAGCAAACGGGAATGCAACATATATATTTGTGGTACTCTCCCATTCACTGCTCTTCAAGTTAACCCAACTATGACGACTTCCGCTGCTGAGAAACCCGGAAATGTGAAAAGGGTCCATTCAATTCATTCCTGAGTGGTCTGGAATACTCGATTCTGATTGGTCAGTCGCAGGATCCAGCGCTCCGTCGCAACGCTGTATATCAATCCGCTCTTCCACACTGAAACCGGCGCTACTTTCACGTCTTGTATCACTCCACGGTTTTAATTAACTGTTTTTTTTCTTTATTTAATATACAAGTAAAAAACAACAACTTTATTACATAATAGATCATGTTCGTGCATCGTCTGGTTCTTTTCAAAATGAAGGTTTATTTTCCATCAGCGCGCCGTCGCAACGCTGTATATCAATCCGCTCTTCCACACTGAAACCGGCGCTACTTTCACGTCTTGTATCACTCCACGGTTTTAATTAACTGTTTTTTTTCTTTATTTCATATACAAGTAAAAAACAACAACTTTATTACATAATAGATCACGTTCGTGCATCGTCTGGTTCTTTTCAAAATGAAGGTTTATTTTCCAATGTCTCTGCATTAGTTCTTACAACATTCTTGTCTGCCACAGGATTCCCAGAATCCCCTGGATGAGGGCCGACGCTTCATTCTGTCTTACTACCTGTCAGATGACATGATCAGTGTCTTTGAGAGATCAACACGTAATTCCGGCATCATCGGAGGAAAATTCCTAGAGAAGACTCGTGTCCCAAAACCAGGAAGCTCCGTGGAAAACCCCGAATACTACACACCTGCAGACTTCTCCATTGGAGTGACTGTGGAGGGTATTGACCAGTGACCTCACATCCTGGGAATCATCGCACTCTTGTTTCTCTCTCATGCTGTTCTGTTCTTTTCTCTGCAGTGTTCGCTCATCGGTTTGTCCTGATGGATGCTGACCGTTATGTGTTGAGGTACCTGGAGTCACTGTACAATCACATCCCTGAACACACTCTCTCTTCCCTGAGACAGAAGTTTGGGGTCAGTCAAACCTCAGCCCTGGAGGAACAACATGAAGGTAAAAAATGTTTGTTTGGTTGTGGTCTATGCAACCTATAATCATAAAAAATAAAAGGTAAAAACCCTGTTTTCACCTTATGGCAAAATATATATATTTTTTATATTTTTAAATATTTCAAAATATTAAAAAATATATTTTTTTGAGAGTATATTTAAATAAATATAAAATATCCACCCATATTTGCATTTAATGTAATGTATTTTCTTGCACTTGAAATACATTTTGGTATATGAAGGTTGAGAGTAAATCATTTTTTAAATTATTATTATTATTTCAATAATTTATTTATTTGAGCTCACAACATATATTTAAAATATATTTTGGTCAGAATAAACGTTGTAGTATGGGTTGGATCCTTTATTTGAAGTGCACAGCCTTTCGGTGACATATCCCAGATGAAAAAGAGGAAAAGCACTATTCGTGATTAAGTTTGAGTGGCTGATATTCAGTTGAAATCTTGCTGAATGTTTCTCTTCACAGGTGAGACTGATGACCCATCATCACAAGATACCAAAAGATCATTCAATTATCAATGAAGTCCTTTTTTTTTTTCATGTTTGTGCTTTTTGATGTTGAGATTTTCAAAGTATTGTGATATTAATGTGCAATAAAGACAGAGATGAAATTTAAAATGCAGCATCAAAATTTATAATTTTTGAGGCTTATGTATTATTTGACTATTTAAGAACATGTTCAAGTCCTGTTTTACCACAAAATTTGAATAAATGTATTTTTTGCTTATGAACCTTGGGCTGGATTCATCTTAAGAAAAAAGTTATAAAATCTTAAGTTTGTATGATCTTATGTGCAACTCTGGAAAATTTAACTACCCGAAGATTTTCTTAGATATTTTTTATTTGGTTTTTCGTAAAATTACAACAACAAAAAAAGATCTTACATAAAGATGCCTTGTCTAACAGAAACTAAAAACCTTGAAAGGGAGAAATGTTTTGAATATGTGCGATATATATCAGATCCCGGATGCATAAGAAGGCTTAGACTAGTCTCATCTAGAAGAATGTGCGTTTTTAATAACACAAGATTTTTCTCAAGTATTTTTTTAAAAAAAGTAATATTTTTACAAATTAGGGAAAAAATGGCAGTTAAAAAAAAAAGTATTCCTAAAATATTTTGTAAATCCAACCCCTTATTCTCAGTATCAGTATTTTTTGCAATAGTGATATATTCCATGTTAAGTAAATTTCAGTTAAGTGCGATTGTATGTCCCATGGCGGTAGTTGTATTAAATTAAATTCTCTATTTTTTAATAAACTGTCCATGCATGATAATTATTTGGATTACTGATGAGAGTTAGATTTTTTTTTTGCACTAGAAATTAAGCACATTACCCCAGTGAAAAAATTGTAAATCAGTTTTAAATATACACGTTTTCAATTCATGCTGGTTTTAATAATAATAAAAAAAATGGATGTTCCTAATAGGCTTCTTTTTTTACCATACACATTTTTTTGATGATGATGAAACATGACAAGGACATATAGTATTTTCATTAGATTCCCATCCATTATCAGATTACGTGATGAAATAAACAAATTATGAAATGTGTCTGCAAAGACAGAAAACAAAACTATTCAAAAAGGTTCAATATTTATAAAGCATTGTCATATACAATCACATATCAAACTGCATAAACGTACAAAGCACGGAGAGAGTTTGCCGTGTGTTCAGGGTCATTTCACTATTACAACACTTGTTCCTACCTCAAACATGATTTTCCATTTTGCCGGGAATTTTTTTTATTTATTATTTATTTGTTTGGATTGTCATGCAAGTCTTTTGTTCATTACAAACCCAGAATGTGTGAAGTCTCAAAATAACACCTCAGATTGCAATCATCTCAACACGTTGAAAGTCAAGCCTGGGCCACCATAGTCGCCACTTTTGTACCTCAAGACATGCAGATACAGAAATACAAACCAACCTCAAAACAGCACTTTAATAAAGAAAGACTGAGTGAAGTTTACAAACATATGCAGAAGAAATAACATGAATACTGAAACTGGAAAGAGAAGTTTAGTACGTTGACCAGAGCCCGATGAGGGTGCCGTCGTCACTTCCTCTGAGAAACGCCACATGCACTTCTCTTGATGTGGAAACCGGAAGCAGCAGGCAGATGAACTGTTTCCTGTTCCTGTGCCCTCGATGTGTGGAGGCCATGCGCTGGAATGGAGCTGAAGTTTACGGCGCTTTGATCTTCTTGAGACGAGGAGATGTGCCGTTCTCTGCTTTAATCAGTCCATTCTCATGGTGACCACCTGCAGAACACACAAACAGCTCGTGTTAGAGAGGAAAACTCTATGAACCAAACAACGTGTAACCCAAGACATCAGACCTACAAACCAGTGTTTGTCGTTCTTGAGTGTCGCGTTTTGGCTTTCACACACACACACAATAAAAGAATACCACTGCCTAGAGGGCAGGGAAAGCACACCTAAAAACATTTACAAAACCTGTATGATTTTTTTTTTCAGGAGACAATTCCAAGCTATTCACTGTAGCTCTGTGTGAGGAAAACAACTAAATGTAAGGGTCATGAATGTGCATGCAGCTTTGACAAAAAAAAAAAAAGGGATTTTATTTTGGTGAGGACTTTTGTGTTGGGGTCAAATTGACCGTTTCGTTTTCTAGTTGAGTTTTACAATAAATAAAATAAATCAGTCAGAGGTTGTTTTTGGTTGTTAGTTTTATGAATCTAAAATACTAGACTGAAAGCACTGAAAATAAGTGAGAGAAACCATTTCATAAAAGCCAAGACAGAAGTAGTACAAATAGCAATAAATACTATTTACACAAAGTACAAATAAAGTTAGATACCATTTATACTGTACTTGGTGACTATTTGCACAACTACAAGTAGTCAGTGGGTGTACAGTAGTACGCTATATAAATGCCCAATTCACTAATTATGGGGGAAAACGTGTCTGTGCAGCTAATTTTGAACATACAAAATATGTTGGTCAAATTGATCCCTAACACAATGAAATTCAATGGAAACAGATGCAATTTATTTAATTTCTCACATATTTTACACATTAAAGTCTCTGAAAAACATGTAGATTCACATAAAAAAGCAGCTTGTCAGAGTGTCGATTTTTTTGGTAAATTTCATGAAAACTAGGGATTCATCGGTATCGGCCCGATACTGAGCTCCTGTACTCGTACTCGTAAAAATGCCTTGATACCAAACGGCATGTGATAAGCGCCATATTCAGACAAAGAAACACCAACAACAGACTGGAGTTATTAGAGATTAAGGATGTCTACGAAGTATATGTATGCAAAGAATATAATGTTAAACATTCAGTATTAACGCCTGTATAGCTGATGTGCGCAAGCTGATGAGCAAAGCGAGCCGAGTAGATTGCGGTGATTGTCGAGTGAATATACCTTTCTCACAGACATCACTGGAAAGTTTGTAGTTCGGTCGGATATGCCAAAAACAAGTAAGTAAAACAATGCACAAGTTACTTAACGGTAGAGAGAGAGAGAGAGAGCGTGCACTTCTGTTGTGTGATCTTTGATGTTCACTCACTTAGCACACGCATCATTTGGATTAAAACTAAATCGCAAAAATAAGACCCTTTATAGGTGCATTCACTATAAGCATCATTTATTTTCAACCTTAGGCATACATGACTTTCTGGCGAAAGTGAAACTAGCAGCCTGTGTGAAATGCGCTAGGCTGTACTCCTCCCTCTCGTTCTGCATCAGTACAAATACCTGCACGCGTTGCGCGTGTTTTGCTTGCTTGAGTGTTTCTGCATAATATGAGTAGCTTTGGAATATAAATCGCAGCACACCTCAGATGAAAAAAAAACCCACGACTTCTATTTCTGAAAATATCACAGTTAGGAGATTTATAACGAGTGGTTCCCTGCATTATTACAGCAAAACGCATGATTACTGTCACGAATTCGGTCCATGGACTTCCGTTTATTCACCACCAGAGGTCACCCTTTTTAAACTGTGACCAATTATACCCCAAAATTCTTCATACTAGTAAAACTGATACAAATTTGGGAACAAAAATTATTCAGACCGAGTCTGGGGAAAAAAACACTGAAGTTGAGGTTTGCATGAAGCTGCAGCATGTCCAGGAGACTACAGGCTGTCATTAAGGCTAAGGGCTGCCCAACTAAGAATTCATAGTTGTGTAAATACTGTCATACTAACAGCTGTCTGAATTATTTTGGTTGATTGTAATCTATTACATACCTTTCTATCAAAGTTATCTAACATGATCAAGCTGAATTTGTTCTGACACAGTGTAACTCTGAGTTCTTGTCATTTTATTACCATTTTCTAAACTATAGCAAATAAACTGATAATGTGAGAAATGTTGAAGGTGTCTGAATAAATTTTGGTTTGACTATCTATTTGATAAATGAAGTTAACCAACTAACATTATACATACTTTTTTGGTTTCTGTACCCAATATTTTAAAAATATAGAAATGCAATAAAAATATCCGTATCGGTACTCGGTATCGGCAAGTACCAAAAATAAAAGTATTGTATCGGGCGAGTACTGGAAAAAGTGGTATCGGTGCACCCCTAATGAAAACCAATGAAACCAACAGGGTTGATAGCATTTTTTGGGAAAACCCAACTTTTACATTTAGTCTTAAAAGAAATTGCTGTAATGAAAATGGTTTTAATTTTTCATTTTAATTCCACAGGGTTTCTCCGAGTTTTATGAAGCTAAATTTTAGACTATTTAAATACCAGTTAAAGAAAATGTAAGGAATAAATTAAAGCGAAATGTTCTCTAAAATGTAAATGTTTAAGGAGAACAATGATTTAAACGAACCACACTTCAAATTTTAAAAATACAACTTCCAACCAATCTCCATTACCGTTTAAGTCATTTGACAAAAATAGCTAACTAGAATATGGAAATAACTTTTACTGCATCTTCTAATCACACTGCACTAAAGTGATGTTCTTCATTAGTATTTTTGTGTGTTTTTTCAATGCAAATATCTAAAGATTCTTAAAAGGTTAGTTCACCCAAAAATGAAAATTCTATCATTAATTACTCACCCTCTTGTTGTTCCAAACCCGTAAGACCTTCGTTCATCTTCGGAACACAATTTAAGATATTTCTGATGAAATCTGAGGGCTCTCTGGCCCTCCCATAGACAGCAAGGTAACTACCACGTTCAAGATCCAGAAAAGTACCAAGATGATCGACAAATTAGCCATCACGCTGGATCTGGGTCAGCGTCGCCACCCGCTCGCATCATGATACTGTCGTGAACGCGCGTCCACAAGTGATGCAGTAGAGAGGAAAATGTTGAATAAAGTCGTTATTTTTGTTTTCTTTGCGCAAAAAGTATTCTTGTAGCTTCGTAACTTTACAGTTGAACCACTGATGTCACACGGACTACTTTGTCGATCATCTTGGTACTTTTCTGGACCTTGAACCTGGTAGTTACCTTGCTGTCTATGGGAGGGTCAGAGAGCCCTCAGATTTCATCAAAAATATCTTAAATTGTGTTCCGAAGATGAACGAAGGTCTTACGGGTTTGGAACAACACGAGGGTGAGTAACTAATGACAGAATTTTCATTTTTGGGTGAACTAACCCTTTA